TAAAAGATATGGTATATGGGTAAATAGTTTTCACAGGATAATTATTTTTAATGTTTACAGTATTTTGATAAAATTACCTTGATTTGAGTGGGAATGCGAAATACCATGTATGCATTATATAGATAGAATTTATACTATGCACTCATATGGCAAAACAAAACACTCACGCATGAGCTGAGCTGAAGACAATGAATGATTACTCCCTAAGTCCTTATGGGAATATCTGGGGAAGGAATTCAAGCAGGGCCACTTTGCATGTGTGGCTGGAAAACGTAAGAACATGGTTTGGTCAAGCAAGAGGACTTTGAGGCTGGAAAAAGTAAAAGCATGGTCTGGTCAAATAAGAAAGTTGAAAAAGCATAGAAGGAAGGAATTTCATATGGAGTGCAAGACAAATATGCATTATGGGTTCCACTGTGAACAACTTTCATTTGGGTTTGAACGAACGAGTCTATTATTTTGTGATATGGGTCCATTGAATTCGTGAGTTTTGTAATCACGATTTGAAGTAAATTTTTTTAAAAACCTGCTTTTGCCCCTCATCATATTGGCTCAGCTAACATCTTCATTTTTGTGAAATGTCCAGTTTTGACCCTTTTTTTTTAATAGGAAACTGAAGCTTCATTTAAACTAAAACCACAAAGAGGTACAAACAAGGGGTGAACGTCTAACCCTCATCAACATCCTCCTCCTGATCAAGGAAAGGAGGGTGATCAAAAAGTAAATAATTTCCATCTATCCTGTGAGCTAGCTTAGCTAACCTATCCGCAGCAATTATATCACCTCTGTGAACATGGTTAAGGTTAACATGCCACTCTCTATTAATGATAAAGCTAACCTCATCCACCACATCCTTAAAAGGGTGGTCATTATCACAACCTCTCAGGCACATATTAATCACTTCAATACAATCAGAGATTAAAGTGATTTTCTTGAAACCCCTGGCCCAACACAAATTCAGGCCATGTATGAATCCAATCAATTCTACGATTGCCAAAGGAACCGCCGTGAGTTTTCTCCCACTTGGTAACACTGAACCATCTACTGTGACTTTAACATAGTCTAGTCCATTACAGTCTCCTTGGCTGATATGGGCCTTCCACACTTGAGTTGTTCTATCATGAGTTAGGATATCTTGATCCCAACATGCCCTGAAAAACCTGTTTCTTGCAGTGAGCTCTATTCCTATGTTTTCTCCTCCGAACAGCTTATTGTATTGTGTGGTCCAGATGTCCCAACAAATATAGCTGAACAAAACATCCCAAGGAACTTTTTCGGTGCACCCTATTCCAATGTCTTGAGTTAGATTCCATTTCATCTAATCGGCACCCTAAAGCAAAGAGAAGGTTTTCCATCTGTTGGGTTGGACTATCGATCTCCATCATTCATAGGCGTTTGGGTAGTCCCTTAGCATGTGCATTGAATCCTCCTCCTCTTCACATCCAAATGGGCAAGTCGCTGCCGTCTCAATCCCTATTTGCTTCTTGAGCTTCGCCGTATAAGCTCTCCCAAGAGTGAAGAGCCAAATGAATGACTTAATTTTTACTGGTACTCTCCATCTCCATATGAGCTTCCAAACGCTATCCTCCTCCTGGGAACCTCCAAACAAAAAATGATAGGCAGATCTAACAGAAAAACACCCATCTATAGATGGTTTCCAGTATACTTTATCCTCTCCTCTTTCCTCACAGGTGGGTGTGCACAGGTTATTCAATCAATGACTTGTCTCTGAAGCCAGATTCCTATTTGATCCCTATCCCACTCTCCATCAATTGTCACATAGTCTCTTACACATTCATCGATATCAACTTGGTCTTCATAACTCGAAACGAGGTCAATAAGTGGTGTGTTCATTTCAGACCAATTGTCAAACTAGAAAGAAGCCATAGTGCCATTTCTTATCTTCCTTCCAACTCCTTTCCTAAACCTCTTCCAAACCGTACAGATACCACTCCAAGTGAGAGAAGAGTTTTGTTTCTTTCTTACTGCTGGTAATTCCTGTTCCCCACACTTGTATTTTGATTTCAGAACTTTCCATAAGGCTTCAGAATTGGTTGAGGCCCTAACAGAGTTTCATGATAAAAGCCTTGTTTTGTCTTCTCAAATTCTTTATCCCTAAACCTCCCAAGTTCTTTTCCTGCATCACTTGGTACCAAGATAATAAATGTAGCTTCCTTGTCTCTTCTGTGCCTCCCCATAAGAATCTTCTCCTGTGTTGTTCCAGTTCTTTCACTAGTTTCTTTGGAAGAAGGATCGTTTGCATGTAATACATAGGTAAAGTTGCTAGGACGGACTTTATAAGTGTCTTGCAGCCTACTAGATTCAAGTATCCCTTCTTCCATCTGAAAAGTCTCTTTTTTCGTTTTCTCCAAAATTGGGGCAAAAGTAGGATACGAGCCTCACTTATGAATCAAGGGAATTCCCAGATACTTCCCCAGGTCACCTGTTAAGCCCACTCCCATTTGTTTACTAAGGTCCATAGCCTTTGAAAAGTGCACATTCCTTGAGAAGCACATTTTGGTTTTGATTTTATTTATTTTTTGCCCCGAAGCTTTGCAAAATCTCCCTACACACTCCAACATTAGATCTACCTGTAGGCTTGAGGCTTCCCCAAAGAGTATTAGATCATCTACAAAGAACAGATAGGTGATCTAGGGTCCGTTTGGGTTTAGAGTGATAGGACTCCATTTTCCCGTGTCTACTGCATCCTTAATAATATGATCCAATCTCTCCACGCAAAGTGTAAGAATATAAGGAGATATTGGATCTCCTTGTTTGATCCCTCTTGAAGGTTGGAAACTTGAAGCAGCCTTGCCATTCCAAAATACCCTCAGCGTTGAAGATGACATACAGGTCATGATGAGTTCACAAATTCTTTCTCCAATCCCCACTACTTTAAGAGTATTCCTAATAAAGGACTATTCTAATTTGTCATAAGCCTTTTCAAGATCTACTTTAACTGCTAGCCATCCTTTACCTCTCTTCTTGCTCTTTACGGAATGTATTACTTCCTAGGCAGCAATAATGTTATCGCTACTCTGCCTGCCTACTATAAAGCTACATTGGTGGTACCCAACAATTTTTCCCATGATGGCTTTCCACAATGACTCTCCCTCAGTATGGAAGCTTTCCAAGAAACCTCTCCCTTAGTATGGAAGCTTTTAATTTTCTTTTCTTTTCTTTACTCTATTCTCTTCTATGGTTGAGACTTTGACTTGACTAGAAGAGGGTTGCCTCGACTTGTACCATCTGCATTGAGTTTACCACCCACACAGCGACTAACAATACAAACCTTGCAATCAATCAATTGATCTTTAGTGACGAAAAGACTCGCTATTCTGCTTCCCTTCCTTCCAATTTATCTTTGAAGCTTAGCTTGAAATTCTAGTCGACCTCTATGGGTTTCACTGAAGATAGGTCAAAAATTGTCCTCTTCGACATCGAAACCGCCGTCCCAACCTGATTCGACCAGGGATTTGCCATTCTTGAATTTGGAGCCATCTTTGTTTGCCAAAAGAAGTTAAAGGAACTCAACTCTTACTCCACCTTGGTCTGACCTCTCACTTGTCTGACCACTGCAACAGCATTACTTGTGATGCTGTTGCCTCAGCTCCTACTTTTGCTGACATCGCCGATACGGTTTATGAACTTCTTCATGGTTTGTTTCCTTCTCTTTTGTTTCTTTGCTTTTTAATAGGAGAAAATGGAGAAAACGATGGACTGGGTGTGGTAAAGTACAGTTGTAATTCTTTTTTTTTTTTGTTTCTCTGAATTTCGTGTAGCACATATTTGGGCTAGCCATATCATCTTAAAATTTGTATTCGCATCAGAGATGCATTTACGGAGATTAATCAGCTAATACCATAACCGAAGGGTACTATTGACTCGTTGGTTTTATTGACTGACATATTTGGAAGAAGAAGAGCTGGTGACATGATGGTACTACTCCTTTATTTCTAGAACTTGTAAACCCAAACCCCACCACTAGTAGGTGCCCTTCCCCCTCAATCTGGAGCCTCTTGAACCTTATCCCCATCAACGCTTGACCCGATGTTTACCTCTACTAAGCGAATGTTTCAATATGGTATGCATGGTATGACGTATGGAATGAAGAATTGGAATTGGGAGTGGAAGTGGAAGTGGAGCCAAACTCTAAAATTAAAATTGAACCCAGAGTTCTATCACATTTCTACTTTTAAAAAAAAAAAACTTCTATCACATTCTATCTTGTAGTTTGGCTTTGCCTAACTCAAGTTACAATGCATTCATGTGTTCACTGCAGATGGCAACTCTTGCAAGATATTTTGGGCTTGGACCACAAACACATAGGTAACTATAATGATCGATTTTATGTAATGCTTTATTGTAAATCGACTATAATAATTTCATTTTGCTTTTTTCTTTTGCATCATATCCTCAGGAGCTTAGATGATGTTCGCATGACTCTGGATGTTCTCAAACACTGTGCAACTGTTCTGTTCTTGGTAAAATTTTATTTTGATGAATTTCATTATGTTCTGTTCTTGGTAAAATCTTCAGGAGCATATTGTTATGTTTTGCATCAAGTGCTAGATGCAAATAATAATTAGCTCATATTGATTCAATTGGACTAGTTAAATGTGATCATTCTTTTCATGGTTCAATTCGTTAAGCAATGAATTGAAATTTGACTCGTCAAATATTGAGTTCTGATTCTACTTTCTAATCCCTCCCTCCACACAGGAATCAAGTCTTCCAGAAATATTCACAGCAAATAGTTGGGTTTCTCCAAATGCTACTACAACAAGTCGTGGTAATGGAAAATCTTTGTCACCTGTTGAGAATTCTCCAGCTTCTCCTATTGCGATGTGCAGCTTAGAAGGCTCTAAATCAAGTTCAGTAGATGCTAATAGAGCTCAACAGCATCATTTTGATTTGTGTGGCCTTTGGGATAATTGAACAGGGAATCAATTCAACCAGCTGTAGTGGTTGATGAAAAGCCCACTCCAGAGACACCCTAGATGTCTTCTTCAGCTGTTGGGTCTGATGCTTGTAGTAACAGCTCTATTGCTGTCTTAGATCCTGATGAAATATTTATTTCTTGCCTCACAGCATCTCTTGTTCCATTATATCGTGGCAGTCAAGGGATACAACTATTGCACAAAGGTTTCCCCTTCCAGCTTTGTTGCACTAATCTTGAAAAATAGTTTGGAGTAAACGACAAATTTAAGGATCACGCTGGCTGATTGAAGTTGAATTTTTGGCTGTTCTTGATCCATCACAAAGCTTATGTAAGGTTCTTGAAGCTTGTGACAGTACTGCACAGGGCTTATCTTTGGACTCCGGTAGCAGCCCTGATTGGAGACCAATTGTTACTAGAAAAGAGGGCTTCTTCCATTATGGTACTGTGCGATTGTAGTAAGTTCATATCCTGCACATAAAGTGCACGCACACGATTTCACTCCAAATATATGATGGATAGCATAAACTAATCTTGGGCTAGGTTTTCAGTCTTCCACGTCATTGACCTAGCTATTGGGAATGTGATTTTGAGATTTTAGAAGCTTTGTCAGTTTAAAATTGTTATACGGTCCTCTTATTAGCTGCACAATTTGAGAGATGGATGCAAAGATTTAGCTCTGGATAAAATTTAGAAGCAGTTCTTTATGAATGTTATAGGCGATTAATACCACACAACTGAATCCTGCTACTGGGTCAAAGATCTTAACAAAAAATATCTAGCCGAACTGTTTGCTTAATATCTAAAGATCTTAAGAAATCGAGCCTTTGAAATTTCCCTTGCTGAGAATTTCACTGATTTTTGTAAATATTGACATTACAGCATACCTACGGTAATATGTGAAAAGGTTGCCACATATGCAGCTGTAATATGCCAGAAAGAATCATCGAGCAACGTTCGGAGGCTACTCTTTAGCAAGGTAGATGCGGAAGAGCTCGGTTCCTTGCTCAAAGCTGGGACATTTGTTGATACAGTCTTCTCCTTAGATCCCTATGACTATCAGCAACACGCAGGGAGATTGATTGCTAAAAAAATTGACCATTAATTGCAAGTAGGAGGAATATGTTTTAACTAGGCAACGCATGACGCATGCCAAATTAGTAGACATATAATAACTTTTTTTTTTTAATGAAAAGGACATATAATATATTATTATCTATTCATGATGGATGTGGGAATCTATTCATGAGGATGCGAAGGAATGTTACCAAAAAGTTCAACGACAAGTTAATTATGTGGTTGCTACCAAGGAAGCTATCATTTCCTTGTTTGTATTGAGACTTATCCAGACTTTTAAATAATTTTAAGTAATTATGTTTCTTCTTTTCTCCTGTTCAAGTTTGTTTTGAAGTTTTTGAAGTGTGATAATGCGTTGGTTTTAGTCATGAAGTTGAAACTGGAACTTTTGGCGCGTAAAAAAATGTTGGTCCTTGAAAAGGAATTGGGTAATGAATTTTTAAAATTTTTCTTCAACCCTAAAATTTTGGCCAGAAAATTTATAACTAATTCTATAAATTTCTAATTCTATAACTAATTCTAGAAAATGAAATAAATTTTTTAGATTTTTATCTTAAAAAATTCATAAATTCATAACTTTTCAGGCCAGTTAAAATTGAGGATTAATTTATAATTTGAGTTAAAATAATATCAAGATTAATTTATAATTTGAGAAGATGTTTTAGAGAAACTAACATATTTTTTCTAAATAATTAATTTGACTATTTTTTGTGCAATTACATGAACAAAAGAATGGGGCATGTCAAATCTCAAATTTAAGGCCTAGGAGTCGTAAAAGTAGCCTAAAGAAGATAAGTTACTAAGCCTCTTTTAAGCAGAAGTCATAAAGATGAAAAAAGAAGTTAAAACAGTTTTAGGAATTAAACTGCAAAGTAAAAGTTTTCAGTAGCTGAAGTATAATCAAAGCTAGAGATTTCGGTAAAGTCTCAAAGGCCCAGGAAGAGAAAAGAGGCTAGATACAAGCTAAAGGATAAGTTAGAAACATCAAAGAAATGGTTTTATTAGGTTGAGTCCAAGTAAGGGTAAAACCATAAATTCATAAAGTTACGGTCATTAGGGGTAAAATCTGAAAGTTCATGGAAAATTCTAAGAAAATCCTAGAAAATGAGAAATAATATTTCAAGACTCTTTTGTGAAGAGAAACGATAAAAATACACCGAAGACACCTTAAATAGAATTTATGAGATTATGGCCAGTAAAAAGTATACCATTTGAGGTAATTATTTAAATTAGCAAGAAATCTTTAAAATGTACTCAAAAATGATGTTAAAGGATTGAAAGGTTGTACTAATTTATAAAATTAGTCCCGCAACCAAAAGGCTAGTGAAATAGCTTTAATAAATTAAAAAGCCAATTATGCCGATAAAAGGGCATTTTAGTGAATAATTTTTATGCAAGGATTAAAAGAAACCTTATGGCCTGAGAAAATTTATAGATATTTTCTAGAGTGAAAGGAAATTTATGGAGTAGATAGAAGAATTTTCTGAGCTCCGAAAGGCTGTCAAGAAAGTTGGAGAAATATAGGCCAAGTAAATTAGGCCTAAAGATTAAGTTTTGATCTAATGGCTAGGATTCAATCTCCCTTCTCCTCCACTAAATTTGTGACACTTGGCACCTTCGAGAAGAATGATGTAAAGATGATGCAAGAAGGTGATGTAATGATGTAAAAATCCACTTGAACTTTCATGTTTGCCCCTTACTCTTTCTATTAGCCACTAAGGGCATTTTAGTCCATTCAAGTCAAATTTTTGGCTATAAATAGACACTCCCTCTCCCTTCATTTCAGCCAAGACGGAGAATAAGAGGGATAACTCTTGCCATGTTGATTCTTGAAGTTTAAATCAAGAGGAAGACACCTACTTTGATCAACCATGTTTGGATCTAAGGTTAGTAAGTTGTTCCCTCTTGTTTCTTGCTTTGAATCTTTGGTTTTTATGGTTGAAAAGTTTGGTTTCCCTTAAGGCATGATGCTGGAAAAATTATATAAAGTTAGGAAAAGGAAGTTTTGATGTTATATCTAGTTAAAACCTATTGATTCAAGGTTATTTCAAGTGGTTTTGAGTTGTTGTTTAAAAGATTTCATGATTGGTTCTTAAAGGGTGCTGTTCGGCCAAGCTAAGATCTGTAGCCTAGATGAGATTTTCATAGTTTTGATGCTTCCATTGTGTTTAAAATGAAAAATGGTGTAAAGTAAACCTAAAGAACAAGCATTAGAAGCATTAGAATTAAAATTGGAATTTTTGGAGTTATGAACCCTCTTTTCGGCCAAACTGATTTTTGTGGAAAGAGTTGGAGCTTTGTTAATCTAAGCTTATATTTGGATTTCTTGGGCAATAATGGCATAAGAATCAAGGAGAAGAAAGTGGAGAATTATTGATGTTAATGATTAAAATTATGTTCAATGTATAATTCTTCCATGTTATAAATTATATTTATGAATGCCTTAATGCAATTTATGTGCGTAGAATGCTTCTGGCATGTATAAAAATGTATGAGCATGAATGAGAAAGAGTAAACTCAAGTTACGTATGCCAAAGAAATAAAAAGAATTAAAGTAAAGAATGGTTAAGGGATAAAACGTAGGTTCTGGAGTAGTTAGCTTCGAGCTCCAGTTTGACTTATGAAATGAACAAGTTAAGTCACGAAATTTAGCCAATTTATATGACACATCTCAAGCTTTAAAGTGAGACGTAAATCACCTCAATTGGATGCGTACATAAGGAGATACAAATTTTTAAAGTTAGGCACGAAATCTGAAAATTTCAGATTTTACTAAATGAACAGTAATCTTTTATCGATTAAACTGCATGAATTAGCCAAAGATAAGTCCAATTGGATTTTGTATCCCTTAAAGAGCATTAAAAGAGCTTTTCCTAGAATTTTAGAAACCTCCATACGATTTTTCTAGAATTAATTATGATTTTTTAAAGTTGGACCTGTAATCTGAAAATTGCACAATGAACAGTAATTTCCGTAAATCAGTGTCCAATTATGTTTTTATAAGCTTAAGGCCATCCAAAATGGTCTGAAATGGCTCTAAATAGACTCTAATGTATGATATAAATAAGGTGTGACAGGACAGGGTCAAAATTCTCTGTTGTATAATATATTGGCATTGCATGAAAATAAAAATTAAGAAAAAAAGGAAAGAAAAGCAGCTCAAAGCGGGTTGGCAAAAAGCCCGCGGGCTGGGCAACGCTATGATTACCACTCTAAAGTTTAAGATGAGCATTTCTAGTCTTCCTAGTCTCATGGCCAAATTGTTCCCTTTGATCTGGTGCATTTGTGCCATAATTAAGCCATACACGTTATATCAATAGATATTTACAACTTGTTATTATTAACTTATGCATCATCTATGATCAATTTACAAATTCACAAAATTTGGAACATAATTCAATAATATATCAATCATCATTATCATGCATTCTCTAACATTATCATGCCATAAAAAGAGAACTCATAATCATACCATTCAATTGCAGAAAACCATTGAACTTAATTAATTAATTCTCTCATCTGATTCGTCATTTTCTTTTTGAATTGGGTATTAGTACTCCTCAACTGAGTTGGTATTAAATATGCATTTTACTTTATTCACGATGGTAGCTCCGCGAAAATAGCGTTAAATTTTTTTAGAGTTAATCTAATTTTTTGTCTTTAAAATATATATCATATATCACTAATTCTAATAAAGGAACCTACTTTTCCTAGTTTTAATGTAAGAACCATTTAAAGTAGATTAAGAAATATAGTTAATTTAATTAATCATAACAACTAATATAATATGTTTTTCCTAGCTGGTATTAGAAAATAATAGAGAACATTAGAGAAGAACACTACAGAAGAAAAAGGAAAATGGGGAGTAAAAAATATGAAAGAGAAATATGAGGCGAAAGAAAATGAAATTGAAGGTATGAGTAGAATGGAGAAGACGAAGAAAGGGGAAAGAAAGAGATGAATGAAAGGTGAGAGAATCAAAATGAAAAAGACGAAGAATGGGGAGAAATATATAAAACATTAATTCTGATTTTTTGCTATCAAAAAAATTAATTCTCATTTTTAATACTATCAGATAATTAATTTAAGTATATTGATAAAAAATTAAATTAAATATTGATAAAAAAAATGTGTATTAGTTTTATTAAACAGTCCTCTTTATTCATAAACCCTAAAAATTATATAAAAAATAAAATAATTGATGTTTTATATCTAAAATTAAATTTATCTCCTATCTTACTTCTATATTAAAAACAAGAGCCGATATTGAAATGAGGTACCAAAATGCTGGTAAAAAAGAAAGAAACATATAAAACACTAATTCTGATTTTTAATACTCTTGGATAATTAATTTAAGTATATTTATAAAAAAATTAAATTACATATTGATAAAAAAAATGTGTATTAGTTTTATTAAACAGTCCTCTTTATTCATAAAACCTAAAAATTATAAATTTAAAAAATAAAATAATTGATGTTTTACATCTAAAATTAAATTTATCTCCTATCTTACTTCTATATTAAAGACAAGAGCCAATATTGAAATGAGGTACCAACATGCTGGTAAAAAAGAAAGAAACATATAAAACACTAATTCTGATGTTTGATACTCTTGGATAATTAATTTAAGTATATTTATAAAAAAATTAAATTACATATTGATAAAAAAAAATGTGTATTAGTTTTATTAAACAGTGCTCTTTATTCATAAACCCTAAAAATTATAAATTTAAAAAATAAAATATTTGATGTTTTACATCTAAAATTAAATTTATCTCCTATCTTACTTCTAAATTAAATACAGGAGCCAGTATTGAAACGAAGTACCAAAATGCTAGTAAAAAAGAAATGATATGGATATGATAAAATTTGAAATGTCCTTATTTTTACCCTTGGAAGTGAATTGAATATGCGGAAACTTTATTTAGGCCCAAAAATTAAAAAATTTCATTTAACTCTGCAGTAATATTTACTGTGCATTTTTTTTAGATTACAGGTCTAACTTTAAACAATTATAACTAATTCTGT